ACATGAAGTTGTATTGTGAGAACTCCTGCAATTCCACACTGAAAATAGGCACATGTGCTATGCATGTATTGGAACCATGCTAATGCTGTGATCTGTTGTTGCAGGACAAATCCAATGGTCATTGCTGAATAAACTATTTTCTTTCTTCTGATATCTTTTATTCATTGGACTTTGAATAATTACTGCAGAAGATGCTTCCTGAGGAAGCTTCTCTGTTGAATACACAGTATTTATTAATAGTCCCATATATAGAGAGAGCTGTGAAAATGGAAGAAGTAATAATCTGCCATAGGTAAAGAAATTTAATTAGAATGACCAGAATGTCTTACTTTAAACTATTTGGTTCTTGTATTTCCAAGGTTATGAAAATCCATTTTGCATGAGTAAAATACTGACTCTAGCACTGTAGTTTACTCATAATTCCAGCCTAACCAGAAGAAAAAAAAGTCAAGATGCATGAAGACATGAAAAGAAGTCCCTGCTGCAACTGTTTTTTTATCCCAACAATGTAACAGCCTGGTTATTGCATATGAATTCTTTGCAAAGATAGTTTTTATCAATTTGTATGCAGTAGAAATGAATCTCATTTTCGTAGCAGAAATATAATGCATCTGGATGTGCTGTATTTAGTGAGGCCATAAGCTAAATATATCACTGTATTCTACGCTGCAATTACAAGGGATTGAAGAGTGACATTTCATGGCAGATTAATCACCATTTAAGAATTAGCAAAGGATGGATGGAGGCATTTGATTCTGACTTATCTTTAATTTCAGCAGTAGCCAGAAATACACTGGAAGTTTTTAAGAAGAGACTGGACAGCCATTTGTCCGAAATGGTGTAGGGTTTCCTGCCCGAGCAGGGGGTTGGACTAGATGACCTCCAAGGTCCCTTCCAACTTTACTACTATTACTTATGCAACATCATATAAATTATGAGAGGAAAAAAAAGATCTGGGCCTTTTCCTCTGCTGTTTTTTCTGTTAATTAACACTATATATAATGTGTGTGTAAAGTAATGTTAATAATTTTAAATCTCATGCTTTATTCCTTTCATTGGTTACATACATGCATTATTCATCATTGGGGGAACTTTTATTTTGTTTTTGCATTGCTTCCTAATACTTAAATTATTATGTAATGTTGGGTATTATGTAATGGTTTGATTAGAATTGCTGGTAGGAAATGGGATGCAGAGATAAGGATGTCTCTGAGGGAATAGAGCAGAATTCTTAGTTCATCCAATCTGAAGAAAGCTACATTTCTTAGCTTACATATGGATATCCTGTTTCCAATTAATGTAAGGTCAATTCAGAGATAAATCACCAAGATATAGAATTCTTCAGTTATTTCATGAACATTTTTTTTTACAATTCTCCCATAAAATTATTGTTTTGAACTTTTTCTGCATATAGCAATTATAGTTCTTGCTACAGTAGAACATTTGAAAATAAATTTTTGATCAAAGGAGAGCAAAGGGTTATATCACAGAAACAATTTTACACTTAACAATGAGCCTATACTTGCTAAAAATCCAGTTCATGGAAATAGATTGCACTGTTATCTCTCATAAATATCTCAGTACAATTTATTTTTAATCATATAGTTCTTTTAGTTGTCTCTTTAAAATAAGTCTAAAGAAATATAATACATTTAGGAGAGAAGTTGATCAAAACCACTTTCTTGATTCCCCCCCCCCCAGACACTTTGAATCAAAGTGAAAAATACAGAATCCTTTTATTTATTTTTTTTAAAAAGTGACTTAAATATGATACATACATACTATATGTATGTATGTGTGTGGAGTATTCTGCATCTGCCCTGTATGTATCTGTGTTGCACATAAGCAACATTTATCATCCAAATAATATAAACATGTGACATTGAAATAACTTATAGACAAACTCTGGATTGTGTTTTTCATTTAAAAATTACTATTATAATGTTTAGTATGTAATTATAATGTATAAAGTCAAAGAATATGAGGCAGATGTAGAAGAAGACGGAGAGAAAACATCAAAGACATACTACAAGAACATCAATTAAAGATGACTAAGGCCATTTTAAGAGCAAGACCCAGTCCCTTGTATCTCTCTTGACACCTGAAGCGGTAAAAGAGGATCGATATCTCTCTCTCTCTCTCTCTCTCTCTCTCTCTCTCTCTCTCTCTCTCTCTCTCTCTCTCTCTCTCTCTCTCTCTCTCTTCCGTCCTTGGTTGTTTGGGAGCTTATTAAATAAACAAGGAAACAAACAAGAAATTTAAAAATACAAAAATATAAATATATAGAAGTTAGAAGTATTTTATCTTTTTTATCCCTCTCACATGTCTTTTTTATCCAGATTATTCCACTTGCAAAATCTTCAAGGGTATGCATTAAGAACATAATCCAGTTGGAGTTTGAATTTCTGATTTAAATCTAGAAGCAAGTGTATTATTTTTCCAGGATTCATGTCTCAAGTGAGAGCTCTGCCTTCCTGAACCATATGTAAGAAAATACAGTGCATTCAGAAAGTACTCAGACCCCCTTCACTTTTGTCAATTTTGTTATGCTGCAGTCTGATTCTACAGTTGTTGAAAATCATTTTTTCTCATTAATCTACATGCAGTATCCCATAATGACAGTGTGAAAATAGAATTCTAGAAATGTTTTTAAATTTATTAAAAAGAAAAAACTGAAATATCACATTGGCATAAGTATCAGACCCTTTGCAACGTGAAATTTATTTCTGGTCCCTCCCATTTCTCTTGATCGTTGCTGACATGTTTCTACACCTTGATTGGAGTTGACCTTCGGTAAATTAAATTGATTGGACATGATTTGAAAAGGCACACACCTCTCTATAGAAGGCCTCACAGGCGACAATGCATATTGTAGCAGAGCAACAGCCATGAGGTCAAAAGACCTGCCTGCAGAGCTCAGATATAGGATTATTGCAAGGCACAGATCTGGGGAAGGCTACAATAACATTTCTGCTACACTGAAAGTTCCTAAGAGCACAGTGGCCTCCATTATTCTTAGATGGAAGAAGTTGGGTGCAACCAAGACTCTGAATACTGGTCACCTGGTCACAATATTGGTTGCTGTCAAACTTAGCAATTGGGGAAGAAGGGCCTTAGTAAGAGAGGTGACCAAGAACCTGATGGTTACTCTAACTGAGCTCCATAGATCCTGTGTGGAGATGGGACAGAGTTCCAGAAGGATGAGCATCACTGCAGCCCTCCACCAATCTTTATGGCAGAAGCCTTTCCTTAGTGCAAAACACATTGGAGTTTGCAAAAAAAGCACCTGGAGGACTCTCGGACTGTGAGGAACAAGATTCTCTGATCTGATGAAACCAAGATTGAACTGTTTGGCCTCAATTCTAAACGCTATGTCTGGAGGAAACCAGGCAACACTCCTCATCTCCGCAATGCCATCCCAATAGTGGTGGTGGCAGCATCATGCTCTGGGGGTGTTTTTTTTAGCAGCAGGGACTGGTGTTTGCCTCAGAGTTGAGGGAAAGCTAAATGGAGCAAAGTACAAGGCTATCCTGAATGAAAATCTGTTCCACAGCGCTCAGAACCTCAGACTGGGCAGAAGGTTCCCTTTCCAATGTGACAATGATCCTAAGCACACAGCCAAGAAAACACAGGAGTGGATTAGGGACAATTCTATGAATGTCCTAGAGTGGCCCAGCCAGAGCCCTGACTTGACCCTTATTGAAGCTCTCTGGAGGGACCTGAAAAAGGCTGTCCACTGATGGTTGAAATCCAACCTGACTGAGCTTGAGAGGTTTTGCAAGGAAGAATGGCAGAACCCCTCCCCCAATTCAGGTTTGCAAAGCTTGTCGTGTTGTACTCAAAAAGACTTGAGGCTGTAATTGCTGTCAAAAGTACTTCAACAAAATGCTGAGTGAAGGGTTTGAATACTTATGCAAATGTGATATTTCAGTTTTTTCTTTTTAATAAATTTACAGAAATTTCTAAACTTCTGTTTTCACTTTGTCATTTTTGGGTAGTCAGTGTAGATTAATGAGAAAAGAATGAATTTCAATAACTGTAGAATTAGGCTGCAGCATAACAAAATTGACGATAGTGAAGGGGGTCTGAATACTTTCTGAATGCACTGTAAATAAGTGTATTATTAAAAACTTGTTTACAGACATGTGAAATTAATTTCAAAAGTTTTGAAGCCTGAATGATTTCAGATGTTTGAATTAGAACTTTAACTTCTGATCAAAAATTAGAAATAGCTATTTTTGGTTTTGGCAGAATTAAATAACATATAGTTTCTGAAGGGATACCTTTCAAATAGATACTGTACATTGGGGCTATGGAGTTTGCGAAGAGAATCTTTATAAATTGGAGGCACATAATTATAAATTTTCTCATATTCTTTGTCAGTGGAAGTGGAAATACTATATTCAGTGGTGGGATTCAAATATGTGATCAACTGGTTCTCTGTGTGGATGACGCTTCTGGAAGTCAATTCTGGGCCTGGACAACAAAATATTAGCTACCGGTTCTGCTGAAGTGTTGCGAATCAGCTGAATCCCACCACTGACCATATCTCTTTATATATGTAGAATGTGATTACAAGACCATAAGACAAATCATTTTTTTTAAAAAGCATGAAAATCAGATTTTTGGTTCCAACTTCATGAACTCAGGTCTTGTTATGAAACACTTGATGATGGAACCACAAAATTGGCTGAAAGTAGCTCACTTTAATTTGGGAATTTAAATTTTGGATATAACTAATGCATACTTTATTAATACTTTTATATATACTTGTGATAAAATTTGAAAAAGAAAAGTCTGAACTAAAAATAATGATAAAAATGTAGCTGTTATCTAACTCAGCTCTTCTGGTATAATATTTTTATTTCTTTATAAACCATACATTTAATGTTGATATTTAATTTAAAAAGTTCTTTGTGTGTTATAAAGAAAATATGCTCATGATGGCAGTATAATTCTTACATGTATAAAATATACTTTGTTGTTTCATTTATACTCACATGTCTGGATATGAAAATGTAATAAATTCTCCCACCCAAAGGTCTTCTGTGGGAATTTGCTGACTGAAATGAAAGAAAGGATGACACATATTTTTATAAAGGTGTATAGGAATAATAAAAAGGTTCAGCAGCTTGAGTTTTTTTTAAAATAAAAAATAAGGAAGGACCTCTCCAAATTTATTTAATTCTAAAATAAATAGAATCGCAATAAATGTGTCAGAATATTTTCAGTTATTGCACTATTTCTCTATGCTCTTATTTTTTTGCTCCAGTTTCAACACTAGCATGGAATAGCATTATAAAGTATACTAAGGTTCACTGCCTTATGCTATATTGGACTGGGCGGTGGTTTACAATAATTTTGGATGAAGGATGCTTAATATATGGGATTCTGCAGATAACAGTGCAATCTTATGAAATCTGATTAGTTGACCATAATGGTGTTTTAAACATGTGTCCAAGATTAAATGACAGAAGATTGGAAACAATTAAAATAAAACATCTCTTTGATTCTTCCTTGTGGCACCTCTACTGTCACTGCTTTTTCTGCCTTAACTCTGGATATGACCATTTGGGGCAGAAGCCTTGGATAATCATGAGAGAATGTTGCTGACATACAGTAGTTCTCCAGCCAGCAACTCTAGGTCACTAAGACATTGAATATAATAACAATTCCTTGGATGTTCAGCTCAGCTCTATACATTTATGTAGCGGGAGCTCAATAGTTCATGCTTCATTAGTTATTGATGGAGCTCAAAAAAAAATCCCTTTGCTGATTTTTAGAAAGATAAAGGAATACAGAGGACAAGGAAAAATATCTATCTCCCTGGGAAGCTCAGAAAAGCATAATTCAATTCTCCAAGGAAGTTTAGTGAACTTATGCAGCCATCCTAATGGAAGCAGGGCCCTTCTCTGTTTTATAGTCACAGAAATCTCTGCTTGGCTTAAATAGAATATAAGCAACCAAGTCAATCAATTATTGGAATTAAATTACCAGATTTTGGAGTGAATACAATGAAGGAGAAGAGAATTTAGATGATCTATGCTGGTTTTTCTGCTGAGATATTTGCATACAACTCATTTTACACTCAGTTGTTTTGTTCTTCTGACAGCTGTGTTTGTACACCTGCTTTCTTTCATGGTTTAATTGAATTTTTTCCTCTCTTGGACCAATGTATGTTGTACACACTATTTTAGGGAATATTGCATTTGCTTTACTAAGCAAACCGTTTTAATTCTCATTTTCTTTCAGAGATGCTTATATTAGTTTATTTTGAAACTTGACATATACAATTATCTGATTTTCTCTCCACACAATGATTTTCTTTCTTTTCAAAACAGGATATATGGTAAATATAGACTTTTCTGCCTCTAAATGATATAACAATCTTTCATGCTAGCTCAGCATTTTTCTTTCATTTTTCAACTGCCCTCTTTACTGTGACTTTATTATTATCCTCCATGGGGTATAATAATGCTTTTTAAATGTTATCTTTCTGTTTAATGGTATTTAAATTGATATTTATTGATAATAAATCGTAATTACTGACTGAATATCTCCATATTGTCACATAATTTCTTTTTTTTCTTTTTTTTCTTTTAGACCAACAAAACAAAATAAAGCACAACAAACATTACACACATACACACGTAATATATCCTTTTTTGTTAACAGCAATTTGTTATAGTACTCTTCTATTCTTTACATTTCCCCCCTCTTTCTTCTTTGAAATATTTGTCCTTATTGCCCCATTGTTTCTTATTTACATTTTCCTTTTTTCATATTCTACTACTTACTAGGAATCCAACATTATTCATTGTAGTATCACTCATATTTTTTATAAGACTCGACCGGAATTCCATCTAAGCGTTGTCACATAATTTCATGTGTCTTATATGCTGTATACATTATTACTGTGTCTCTTTATTTCCACACTCTTAAGAATCTAGGAAATAAAGCCTTTTAAACTACTTTATGTAATAAAATAAACATTTCCATAGTACTATACTAGTAAGATACTTTCCTAAATCTTTCCAATCAAATTAGGTCTTAGGTTCAGATTCAGTTTAGTAAGTGTGTTCCAGGAAGATATGGGTTTTTCACTATTTTTATCCATCGGTTTACAATTTTGTACCTTCATCTAGGAAATAGAATCATAACAAAAGGTTTTTTTTTTCTTAACATATCATGTTATAGTATGGAAGTCGAGGATGCCACATGTCTTCTTTAATTTTTAAACTCATTGCTAAATCAATTGCTTTTCATTTTAGATAATAATTAATGTCATTTTTTTGAGGATACCTTGAATCTGTCTTGACTTCTGGAGCAGTCTCCTGCAGTTTTCTTGGCATGATTTTTAGAAGTGGTTTATTATTGCCTTCTTCTTAGGACCAAGAGACTGCCCAAGGATACTCAACTGGCTTCATGGCCAAGGCAGGACTAGAACCTAGGTACCCCATTTTTTTTAGACCAACATCTTAACTATTATGCTAAACTGGTTCTCATTGTTGTCATTATCAAAGCTTTAAATTGTACAATAATGTGGTTTTAAGACATCAGGCTAGAAACCTGGAGTTTGTGAGTTCTAGCCCTGAGTGAGTGTGCAACTTCTTTGAAATCTGCAGATTTTAGGAATTAAGTACTCTAAACAAAAATCTTTGTTTCCAGTCTTGGAAGATATAAGATATATTTTGTTATGAATAGATCAGCAGTTTTGATGCAGATCAAAATATATTGATCAATGGTGGTGAGGAATAATTTGAATTTGAATAGAGTATGATTGATGTTACATGTTTGGCTCAGGTACATCCTGAAACAAATAAAGAATAAATACTTTGAACCAGTTGATTTAAAATAGATATTTTTAAAGACCCTGAGATATTACATTCTAAAGAGTAATAGTAGTAAAGTTGGAAGGGACCTTGGAGGTCATCTAGTCCAACCCCCTGCTCGGGCAGGAAACCCTACGCTATTTCGGACAAATGGCTGTCCAGTCTCTTCTTAAAAACTTCCAGTGTTGGAGCATTTACTGCTTCTGGAGGCAAGCTGTCCCACTGATTAATTGTTCTCACTGTCAGGAAGTTTCTCCTTAGTTCTAGGTTGCTTCTCTCATTGATTAGTTTCCACCCGTTGCTTCTTGTCCTGCCTTCAGGTGCTTTGGAAAATAGCTTAATTCCCTCTTCTTTATGGCAGCCCCTGAGATATTGGAACACTGCTATCATGTCCCCCCTTGTCCTTCTCTTCGTTAAACTAGACATACCCAATTCTAGCAACCGTTCCTTATATGTTTTAGCCTCCAGTCCCATAATCATCTTTGTTGCTCTTCTCTGTACTCTTTCTAGAGTCTCAACATCTTTTTTACATCGTGGTGACCAAAACTGGATGCAGTATTCCAAGTGTGGCCTTACCAAGGCATTGAAGAGTGGTATTAATACTTCACGTGATCTTGATTCTATCCCTCTGTTAATGCAGCCTAGCACTGTGTTGGCCTTTTTGGCAGCTGCAGCACACTGCTGGCTCATATTTAAGTGATTGTCAACTGTGAGAGGGACCTCGGAGTCCTAGTAGACAATCACTTAAATATGAGCCAGCAGTGTGCTGCAGCTGCCAAAAAGGCCAACACAGTGCTAGGATAAAATAGTATGGTTCAGATGTTTATCTGCAATTTTAAGAGCCTTAAATCAATCAGTATTTAAAATATTCAGTTCAGATAAAAAAAATAGAATGAAGATTAATATAGTTGCATACGTGATACGTGAACCAAAGAATTAGAATACACAATCTTGCAAAATCACTAGCCCTAAGCTTTAAGCAATATAAAATATACTTCTTATGATTTAAAAATAAAGTTAGTTCATTAGAAAATACTATTTAATATATCTTCAAAAAGGTTTGAAAAGGATTGGATATTAGATTTCCTTTTTTCTGCAGATAAGAAATTTGAGGGCTATTTAACCCTTGATTTGGTTTTGTCTAGCCATAGCTTCATTTCAGATCAAAACATATATTAATGCCATTTTGAAAACAAATATTTTGCTTAAAGGTGCATTGATGGTATTAAATTATATTCCTAATATATTGAATTTGACATTTCATGATTTTTATTGAGCTTGGGAAAAAGAAAGAGAAAAATATTAAATACTTGCAAAAATCTTATCTTCCTGATATTAAGGGATGAATTCAGGATATGAGTCTTATCCATTTTTAAAGTCTTATTGTAAACATAATAAAAAGAAACAATATATTCCTTTATCGTCTAGACTTAAATAATTCCAAATTGATACTAAATGGATACTATATTGAGTTCTATTCTCTTTACCCCCAATAGCCTATTACTTTGGCGAAATAACATATGTAACCTTCTAAAATAAACATAAACATAAAAATGGGCCACTCTGAAATGTAAGCTCTAAAGGTAGCCATTGAATCAATAGCAAACCCACAGTTTGCTTGGAGACTGGTTCACTCTGCCTCTAGAATATTCCTAGTTTTGAAGTGGAATAGCAAGAGACATTTTTTTCTCATTTCCAAGATGATAGCTGATGGGCAGAAAATAATTTAGCCAGGATAATGGTGCAAGAGTCAGAAAGGAAAAGGCTTGGTGAAGAGAAAGCCCTTCATAACATGACAAAAAGAGGGAAAATACAAGAATAAGAAAAGTAAAAACATGACATGAGGAAGGGTCACAAGAGATTGTTGGGCTACAGGATGGTCTATTTGGCTTTGTTTGGGTTCCACTTACTGTTTTTTCAGCTTTGCTCAATGATGATACACAACTTCCAACCTATCATAGGAATTGGCCTTAGCTCTTAAAAAGAAAGTTTGCCATCTCTGCTACAAGGATAGAATATGCAGTTCTGATGCTTCATTTCTATCTCATCTTGTTTTCCAGGATTAAGAATTCTGACATGCAAATTTATTTTCATTAAGCTTAAGTGAGTTTTACTCTTTAATTAACTGAAAAACTTTTATCTTATTTTGCAACACTGTTCCTACTCAATATTATGACAGGGAAGGAAAAAGTGATGGTTCTTTGGCTGCCATTTACCTAGGTAATTTGATT